AGCGACATAAGTTATACCAACATAAGTGTTAGTGTGTACAAGCCCTTAAGTTTCTGTCATTTCAGCCTGTAATTTCATCACTGCAGATTGTTCCTTTAGTGGCCATTATTTCTGTTTAAAAAAATGAGTTAATACAAGGTGTTCTGAAGTTTGTGTGTGTAAACGAATGTCATGCCATGCTGCCTGAGCAGAGATGTATTTATTCTTTCACAGCTTCTGTAAAGTAATGAATCTGCATAAAGAAAAGGAGTACTTGTGGCACCTTAGAGACTAACAAATTTATTTGAGCATAAGCTTTTGATAAATTTGTTAGCCTCTAAGGTGCCACACGTACTCCTTTTCTTTTTGCGGATACAGACTAACACGTCTGCTACTCTGAAACAAATCTGCATAAGACTTTTTATACTCTATAATGCTAATCTTTTGCAACAGCCTAAATCTGACTTTCATATATTTCTAGTCCTGTTTACAAGAGAGGCAGAAATTTGTGGAGTTGCCCCTTTAGACTGAACCGTTAGCCTAAATTTGGCAGGGTTCTTTTCATTAGGAATAGATGTTTGTGGCACAAGTCAGGTACAGTCTTGGTGTAATCTCATTTATGTATTTTCAAAAAAGTCAGTACTGTTTCTCTGAACACAGTAGAAACAGTATCCTTGCTCAGAAATCCCCTAGTCTAGCACTCCAGTGAGCTCTGTTCCCAAGAAGTTCTGTCCTTCTGCTTCCTTTCAGGGTAATGTTCACAACTTTCTCTTGCCTGTCTGCCACCAGTGTGCACAGTCTGCAAATCACTATTCTGGGGGAATTCTGCATCAAAGAATTAAAAATTCTGTGCACAATATTTTAAAATTCTGTAAAATTCTGCATATTTTATTTGTCAAAATAACACTATATAATCATGTCAGTTTCGGTTATTTTGGTAATTTTATTTCAGAATAGCTATCAGCAACGGTGCCTAATAGTATAGACACAAAAAAATTCCTCCAGGAGTAGAGTGTTAAGGAAACCCCTATGACAACCCAGTTCCTGTTTCTCTGCTCCCTCCCCGCAGAGCTCAGTAGGGGGGCTAGACACCCTGTCCCCACCAGAGTCCAGGCACAGACACTCACATGCACCTCCCCCAGATCCCAGCTGCGGGCCTCCCCATCCAGACACTTGAACCCCCCCCCCCCGACTCCAGCTGTGTCCCCCACACCCAGACACTCGCATGCCCTCCCTCGCAGAACCCAGCTGTGTCCCCCACACCCAGACACTCGCATGCCCTCCCTCCCAGAACCCAGCTGTGACCCCCCCCCAGCCCAGACACTTACACCCCCTCCCTGCCAAGACCTCAGGGATCCAGAGAGAGAAACAGCTTGATGCTGGGTCCTCGGCTTGTGTGGAGTTTCCTGCACATTGCCTCCTTCCTTAAGGGCATACTAGGAACTGCAGCTGCCAGGAACCCTCCAGCTCCTCCTGCCCTGCCACCCACACAGTATCCTCTACTTGTGAGCTTGCTCTGCTAGGTCCAGCAGCCGCTAGTGGCGGCCAGCAGTGGTGCAGAATTCCCCCAGGAGTATTAACCTACTGGGCTGCTTAGTACCTTGAGCAGTAGTCTCTGTTTGCAGCTGTATTTACTACATAAGAGGCTGGATTGCTCCTCCCCTTCGGTCTGAAAGAGGGTGCTTGACACACCCATAGGCTTAATGAGGTCTTTGAGGTTTTGGATCCAAGGGTCTTCTGATGACGCACGTTGCAGCATAAGGGTATCATGGACCGGTGAACATTTGCAACATTTAATTTGAAAAGTTAATTAAGCAAATGTTATATTGTTGTCTTTGTTCTATGCATACCCATTTTTAAAAATAGCTATTTCTGTAACCACAATGCTTTAATTGCCTTGTTACATATAAAAAGTAAAAAGGTATCTTTTGCTTTATGTGCCTAGTGTATTGTTTTCTTTCTTTGCAAGGAAAAGGGCTAGACTTCTTTTTAAATGAAAGGTGAAATTTTCTTTCATGAGGTCCTCTCTAGTTTGTGAGTGGAAAAGGCCGGACACAAAGTGTTTTGGAGTATTTTTCAGTGTGGATTCTACTGTAGGTGTGCATGCGTCTAATGCATGTGAGGTCGGGGTTTATTTAGTAGTCATGTCCACTGGGCCTGTGCATGCACCCTTGTGCAAGGACATAAAGGGCAGAGTGGACGTGATCCTCCTTCAGTTCCTTCTTACCTGCGGCAGTGAGATGGAACCTCGCAAGTGTCTGACCTACTACTTTTGAGATTCATACTTACCTTTTAGGCATTTCTTCACTCTCCTTATCTCTGTTCATTTTTAATTTAAACGTTTCTTAAAAGCCAAAACTCTCTGTACACACCCCTTTGCAGCAAAGCAAGGCAACCCAGGCCAACTGCCATGGTGAACTCTAACCATTGTTTCATGTTCTCTATGTATATAAATCTCCCCACTGTATTTTCCACTGAATGCATCCAATGAAGTGAGCTGTAGCTCTCGAAAGCTTATGCTCAAATAAATTGGTTAGTCTCTAAGGTGCCACAAGTACTCCTTTTCTTTTTGCGAATACAGACTAACACGGCTGCTACTCTGAAACCTCTAAAACTTCTATAAGCCCTGCCTGACTTGTGATGGACTCATCCTTGTGATCAACTGACATAGCTGATGCCTTTTCTGTCTGGGGGACAGTTACATCCCTGATAAGTATTTAGTGTGTAAACCCTTCTCATTGAGGACTTGCAAGTTGAGGCCTGTGTAAGGAATGGTGTCCCTAGCCTCTGTTTGTCAGAGGGTGGAGATGGATGGCAGGAGAGAGATCACTTGATCCTTACCTATTAGGTTCACTCCCTCTGGGGCACATGGCATTGGCCACTGTCAGTAGACAGAATACGGGGCTGGATGGACCTTTTGTCTGACCCAATATGGTCATTCTTATGTTCTCATGGGTGGCAGAAACTACACCTACTCTAGCAATTGATTCACGTTGCCTTGGACCTCCAGGAGGCCTCTTAGCAATCCAAACGGTCATTCTCAGTGAGTGACCCTCTGAGTAGACCTCAGACCCAGGGCTCCAGCAGTGAAAGGAGGGCAGGGAAGAAAACTCCACTGAAAATGGATGCCTATCATCCCAGCATTGGGGCCATTGGCATCAGCTGCCACTGTTTCAAGACCAATGCTGTCAGCCAATTTGAGGGCGAACCTAGAGCCAGGACTGGAGAGCCCTCTTGTAGGATGCTGTGTAGGTTAAGTATAAAATTAAAGAATTAAAGTTAGTTTATTGGTCAAGGAAATATATATATGTGTTGTAAAGAAAGGGCCTGACTAGCAAATAGAAGGAAGGCCTTGAAAATAATGAGTTATAAAGTGAAAAGGAATGAAGCAGGAAGGATGTCTGGTTCAAAGAATAACTCATGAGATCAGGAGAAGTTTCTAAAAAGTAGACCTTTGACCAATAGGGGTGTCTGCAGATGGTTTTAAATCACACAAAAATTTGTCTTAAAGGAGCCAACATGGACCTTTGTGCCCCCATACCAGTGTTCACCTATGTGAACCCAGGTGCAATGAAAAAGCTGTTGGTCAGCAGGAAGGAGGGGAAGAGATAAAGAGGAATGGCTTTGGGAAGAAAGGAGGTTGTAAATCTTATCTGGATTAAGATTGGAAATAAGGATGAACTGTCTCAAATTGGTTTTTATCTGAAGTCAGAAATTGGCAGTGACATCACTTGTTTGTTATAAAAAGTCCGCTCTTAAAGGGTTCATTGCTAATAGCTGCATGACCATGCTGGAGCTGACCAACATGGATCTAAACACCCCTGGGTTTTGCCTGTTTGTGAGTATCTTGATGAAATGCTTATAAATGTTTTGTTACTATTCGAATGTAGTAAATTGCTTATTTTAGCCTTTTTAGGCATGTTTAGAGCAACTGCATATTGGCCTTTGGATTTAATAAAGGAATTTATGGTTAAATTGGTGTTTGATTTCTCATTTTAATATTAATAATTTCAAATATGATTAATAATTCCAACATGCTGCAACGAAAGAAACATCAGTGGTAGAGGGTCAACTAACCACAACATGGTCATTACATATATATGATGCCACTCTAGCCTTACTGGCCCTAGTGGGACCATCCACTGAAGTGCTCTGTAGCAGGTCACCCTCCCGTAGGTCCGGGAGGAGGAGGAGACTGGGGTCCCAGGTGGCATCACTGCCACCAGAGCCAGACATCAGCACCCAAGAACTGGGAGCAATGGAGGAACAACACCCCCCGTCTCCACCGAAGGAGTTGCTGTCATCTCCTGACACGGCATTCACACCAGCCCCATCTCCAGTGGTTGATGATTTTAAGGCTTTTCAGGATCTTCTCAGCTCTCATTGCGGAGACCCTGAATATTGAAATGATGGCCATACAGGCAAAGTCACACAAAAGTTCTTTGACATCTTGAATGTGGACACAAGAACAAATAGATATAAACTGGCCATGAACAAATTTAGGCTCTAAATTAGGCAAAGGTTTCTAACCATCAGAGGAGTGAAGTTCTGGCACAGCATTCCCAGGGGAGCAGTGGGCGGGGGGGCATAAAACCTAACTAGCTTCAGGACTGAGCTTGCTAAGTTTATGGAGGGGATGATATGATGGGAATGTCTACAGTGGCATGTGACCCATTGGCGACTGCCAGTAGCAAAAATCCCCAATGGCCAAAAATGGGACAATAGATGGGGAAAGCTCTGAGTTACTACAGAGAATTCTTTCCCAGGCATCTTCCTGGTGGGACTTGCCCATAGGCTCATGGCCTAACTGATTGCCATATTTGGGGTCGGGAAGGAATATCCCCCCGGTCAGATTAGCAGACCCTGGGGGGGTTTTCGCCTTTCTCTGCAGTCCCTTGCAGCTTTAAACTAGTGAAAATGGTGGAGTCTCTAATTTGAAGTCTTTAAACCGTGTGTAACAGGGCATAGCAGAGCCCCCTTTGCTTCTGCTCTGCTCCAAAAACCACTCAGAGACCTTCAGGTTCAGCAATCAATGGTGCAGTTTATTTACAGCATGCAATCCCACCATCTTCTCATCCTATACAGCATGGGGATTTCAGCCTTGAGGACTCCTTAGCCTCTGCACCCAGGAGGGAAGAGCTACCACTGTGGCTTCCCCGCTGCTTCCTTCCTCTCGGCCTTTATATAGCCCCTTGCTAATTAGGCTGGCAGCTGTTTCCTGTTTATCAATCAGGTGCAGGTTTCTCTAGCCAGCTCCAATTTTCCTCCCTTAATTGGAGCTAGTGTGACAGAGGGCTGGCTCAGGAGTTCCTGCCCAGCACACTGTCACACCGTGATTTGAGGACTTCAGGAACTCAGCCAGAGGTTAGGGGTCTATTAGAGGAGTTGGTGGGTGAGGTTTAATGGCTTGCAATGTGCAGGAGGTCAGACTAGATATTCATGATGGTCCCTTCTGACCTTAAAGTCTATGAGACTGCATCAGGCTCAGCCAAAATTCCTCTTCCTATAAATGAGAGCATACTGGACCTAGCCAAAGGGCTCTGGCAAACTCCCGCCACCATCCAGACCATCTCCAAGCAGGTGGAGAAGCACTATCATAAGTCCCCCAACCCCCACCAAAACTTGGATCACTTTTATTCCCACCCAAATCCAGGCTCATTGGTAGTTGCATTAGTGCAGGAAAAGTCCAAAATCAACAAAAGGCACGCCCAGGAACAAGGACCCCTGAAAAGCTAGATGTGTTTGGGTCATATGCCTTATTGAAGCTAAGTGTGGCAAACCTTCAGGCATTATTTGCAAGATATAATTTCCTTATGTGATAGAGGGTGATCTCTTGGTGAAAGTGCCACAGGATTCAAGGGAGGAATTAAAGGAGATTATCAGAAAAGATGAAATGGTGACCAGAACTGCAGTACAGGAAGCCATGGATGCCTCTGATGTAGTCATGAGTTTGATGGCCACAGTTGTGACCATGAGGTTTGCCTCTTGACTGTAAGCATCCAGAATACCAATACAGTCTCTTTTAACCACATACAGATTCAAGGAGCTTGGTCCCCAGATGACAATGAATTGTATATGAAACTCCTGCAGCTCAAAATCCTCAGATTGTCCTGTATATAGTGTCCCTACATGTTTTCTGGAACTCAGTGGTGCAAATTTTCACAAACATGACAACTGTGCACTACTTAAACAACGGGATGCTCATTTCTCACATCTCTGTCTGGAAGCCATCAAGCTCTGGGCGTGGTGATGTTTCAGTGGGTGACCACACTAGCTCTTCACCTTCTAGGGGTCAGCAACAACTTGACCAGTATCTTAAGCAGGCAGTCAATGACCAGCCATGAATGGTCCTTGCACAGATCCATTGTAAAACTGATATTCTGTTATTGGGGAATCCCCTCCCCCAGACTATTTTGCCTCCAAAAACAATGCCAAATGTCAAAATTCTTCTTCCAGGACAAGACTAACCAATGATTGTTGCCAGATGCCTTCCTTCTACAGTGGAACAGAGACTTACCTTACACTTTTCCACTGATTCCTAGAGAATATCCAAGATCATGAGAGATAGGACTGTCGTGGTTGTTGCCCTGTATTGGGTGAGGCAGTCTTGGCTGACAAACCTGTTACAAATGTCTGTTCAGTCTTTAGTTGAGCTCATGCTCTGTACAGGTCCAGGAAAATTTGGCTCAGAACAGGAAAAATCTAAATGGAACAGGTTCTCAATATGGGCAGCCCAGCATGGCTGGGTCTCAGTCCAAGACTTGATACTGAAGATCCTTGACTACCTACTACACTTAGAACAGGCTGGCCTGTTGTTCAGCTCTAATAGTCCACTTCACGGTAGCTTCAGTTTGCCACCTGCCTGTACAGTTGTCAAGGTGAATTTAAATCACTAGATGGAAAGCCTTTATATAAATCGTCAATTTTAATCAACTTTTCCATTTGCACTTTTATTTTCTAAAGAACGGTCCATTGTCATTGGTTCCTATAGCAATTAAAACAAGTTGATTTACAGTGAAATAGAGCCTTTACACTAGATTTGGTGCATCTTTTTGCTACTTAGGAAGGTACACTATAACCTATACACATTTAATTAAGCAATTACATAGGTTGATATTTTCAGATTCTTATTGTACATTTTTAGTATGTTAGAAAATGGTGAATGGTATTGCTTATTTACTAGATAATTAACTTTTGGTCATGATTTGTGTCAAGCTTCATTAGTATGGTAACTGTAATTTAAAAAATCTATTTTTATTAAAGTAACTTTAAATGTTTTGGATACATAAGCTCTTATCAAAAGATTTTTCACATTTACAGCTAAATGAGTTATTAAAGGAACAGAGGGATTAATTTTAGTCAGTGACTTAAGATGATAATGCAGGTCAGGCGTATTTGAAAATTTTCCTAGGCTAAGTGAAAGTGATTGGCTCTTAAGTTCCTACATGCCTAAGGCTATGTCTACACTAGAGAGCTTACAGCAGTGCAGCTGTAAGATCTCTAGTGTAGCCACACTAAGCTGATGGGAGAGAGCTCTCCCGTCTACATAACTACCGCTGCTCATTGGGGGTTGATTAATTATGTTGACAGAAGAAGCTCTCCCACTGACATAGCGTTGTCCATAACAGCGCTTATGGCAGTGTGACGTATGTTGCTCAGGAGGTTTGTTTTTTTCACATCCCTGAGCGACATAAGTTATACTGACATAGGCTATGTCTTCACTACCACTTAAGTCTCTTGAAAATGAGACGAGTCTCCTAAGTTACTTAGTCTGTGCGTCAAACTTTTAGAACTGTAAGTTCTAGATCTAGTTTTAGATCTCATCTCCCCCCCCCATTTTTATTTTTTTTCCAGCTCCCAGTTGATTTCTCAACTTTGAATGAATTAGTCCAAATGAAGAAAATATTCTGTGTTCCTGCAGAAGAGGTTACTACTGTAAAAAAGCTAGTTCAGCACTTCGATAAACTCTGGTCCCAGCTGCTTAACTGGTGATGCACACCAGTTCAGTGGTGTGACTTTCTTAGCAAACATATACTGCTTGAATGTTTCATTTCCAGCCCTGAAATTTATTATGATTGATTATTAGATGCCCATTTAATAGTAGCATCTTCTACAGCAGTGAGGCATTTACCCTAGTATGTTGAGTTGAGAATATTGCCAAGAAAATGAGGTAAAGTATTGGGTATTTCTTTCTTCAGTGTCTCTTAAGTGACTTCTAAATTTCAACAGCATTAGCAGTACAGTAGCAATCTTTCTGCAGCTTGTCCAAGGCTATGGAAATAGTTTTCAGTATATTCAGCTTATCTTCTACATTTCTCTTTAGTCCAGTGTTGACTACTTTGACTGTGTTAGTTCCATCTGTTTTGGCGTGATTTTCTTCACAAATTGTCATCTGAATAGGCCAGTTCTTAATAAATAGCTCAAAACAAGTCAATCACTGAATTCCATAATACATCTTGGAGATGAATTAGTTGGGATCATCCTGCTCTCTTTAGTTAAGCTGAAGCAAAGTGGTTGTTACAGAAAATGTTGCAATTTCAACAACATTTTCCTTTATTCCTGGAGTTGAACTTAAGTCTTTAGCTAAAAGATGCATCAGATGAGCACTGCACCCATATGTTATAAGCTTCAGGTTCCCTTCTTCAAGATTTCTTGCCTTTGCTACATTTTGCAGCATTATCTGTGACAAAGCTACATATGTAAGGCTTGATTTTTTTATTCAGTTTCTTATAGCTTTTACTGCTGTTACTTTTAACTATTATGCTGTATGGCCATTCCCTGATGTATAATTTTTTTTCTGCAAGATAGAAAACCCCATCTTTTTTTTCATACAAACACATTACTAGAACATTGTATACATTGCTTCACCCCTCAAGACTCAGCTTAATGAATTTCCCATTAATGTTTTTTTGCACAGTGTTCAATTTTTTTCTCATACAGGAATCTGCCAGCAATGTTTGCTCTGCTGGGTGGAGAGTAGCCTGGTTGTAATGATTGAACCCTATGAGATGTTTGTCCTGAACAGGATAAAAGGGAGAATTTACTGTGTAAATAAACTGTGAGCAATCCTTTCATCTATGGAGTCTTTCTGAAATTTGCTGGTCTTGATTAGGAACTCATCCATGTTTTTATTGGATGATTGAAGAAAATCTTTTGTTTAAATACAGATAATTTACTATCCGATGTATGCTTAGTTGCAGCACTGCCTGTGTACCAGCAGATGACTGAAGTTGTAGACATTGCAGATGATGGACGTTCATAACCCGTTATGTCTAAGCTGGACCTTGAAACAAAATGGTAAAAAAAAGTCACTCACTCACTGTTACTCAGTGCACTGCTTCTTCTTCTTCTTTTTTTTTAAGACTGTAAATGAAAGATTCCGCTTACTACAGCTATTTTAACCATGGTTTATATGATATAATTTATTCTAAACCCAGTTTTATAGGTAAAATAATAAATCATAAGAGTTATTTAAACCTATTTAAACCTTTATCTCTAGCAACACACCAAACAGCTTGAAAAAACCCTATTTTAAATGTTAAAATTCGTAAGTGATTAATAAACATTGCTTTTAAACAGGAAATCTTTACTTAGGATGTTTGATTATACTGAGCAATAAAATTAGTCAGAAGTTCTGTAGTAATAGTAAAAATGCAGCTGATAAATACTCCCACAACAAAGTAATATACCAATTATATTTTGAACACAAACATTTTGAAATTCATAAGTAAGTGTAATCCACCCAAAACACAATTTATGACAATAATCTGTTATCATTTACAAGCACAGTAAGTCATGGTAGGCAGTCCATAACAATGGTCTAAAAATAAGTTTACTAACCAGTTGATCCTGATTGTTCAGACTTGTCCACATCATCTTCAAAGTCATTGCTTTCTGAAGAATATTTTTCATATTATTTCATTCTGACAACCAGGTCTTGCATCTCTTTATTGCACTGTTTATTTTGATAAGTAATAGAAATACAGAAATTCCTTGAAAATATTCCCACGTTAGCCTTTTTTACAACCTCTAGCCATGGCAGTTTTTTCCCCGTCAGTTCCCAGGTATTGAAATCAACACTAGAGGCTTCACTCTAAAGAATACTGTTCCTTTTTCCCAAGTGTCCTGCTCTGCTACCAGTGTTGCTCATTGCTGGTTGTGCACGCTTTCTCCTTTGTTACCGGGGCGGGGGGAGGGGGAAGGGGAGAGAGAGGGAGGAAGAACTGACGACAATCCAAGACTTTTGCTGTGTAACCCACATGTCTTTTATACTGTGGTGTTTTATTTAGTTAGAGAGGAGGCAGTTGAGAAATTAATGGATTTCTGTTTGTATCTCTCTCTGTGTACACATGCAAACAGATTAAGTAAGTGGCTTTACTCTGAGTGCCCAGAATCATGGGTGGCGGGTAGCATAGGCAGGGGAAGGCTGTGTCTCCCCAAACAGCCTGGCATAGCCCTGCTCACACTCCGCTCCCAAGCCCCCTCCTGCCTACTTCCAGTTCCCTTCCCTTCCCGCTCTTCTGTGGCCGAGAGGCCGGGGCAGGCAGGCTGGGGCCGGTGTGCACAAGACCCCCAGGCCATTCCATGCTGCCTATCTGTCCGGCTGGTTCTGGGGCTGCGCTGCCTTCTCTGGCGGGGGATGGGTGGGGCCTCAGGCAGAGGAGGAGGGGGTGGGGGCTAGCCTCCCCAAGCATGCGTTCACCCACCGTGCATGCCAAGAACCATCCAAAAAAAAAGTGCTGGTATTTACTGAGCAGATCAGTGCTTTTCTGTGAGCTGGAGAGTAAGTTTCCATGGTGGATGGAGTCATACATATTCATAATTTGAAAGCTGAGCCAATCAGAGGGTGTCAAGGCTGATTATTCCCCCCCAGGAAGAGTTGAGAAAGAAAACAAAGGAAATCAGCTGTTTCCACCAGCTAATTAAACAACATGTGCACAAACCTCTTAGGGACCCAAAAATCCAGTCCTGTTCTTAAAAAAAAAAAAATTAAATTTTATTAAAAACAAAAAGAAAGAAAAATACATCTGGAATTTAGGCTTTTTGCTAGGTTTTTTTTTAAAAAAACACAGTTACAGGGATTAAGCATCAAGATAGCTTCTTGAGGTCCATCTTCAAGGTTACAAGCAAAACAAAAGCTGGGGTTAGCACAGAGGAGTCCACAAGTCATAAAGAAATAAAAGAGAGAAACCTAATCGCGTCTTCCTCGACATTTCCTGATCTACTTACATATCTGGGGTTCAAATGAGTAGTTTCTAAGGTACGTTCTGATGATTTTCATACCTGGCCCAAAGCTTTTTACAGCATAGTTCCAGCCCTGTCTCTCCTCCGGGAGAACAACACAGACAGACAAGGGGGAAGACAGGTAAAGCAAGTAGAGAACAGCTACTAACAGGGGTTTTATAGCTAACTGGTTGGCAAACTGATGACAACAAAGTCATCACAGGCTTTGGGACCTGGCCTCTTACTCTAGGAGACACCCTTATGTATTCCATCAGGATCATCCACTGAGCATACCTGGTTGCTGTCCTACTTCTGTTTTATAGCTTCTCTTTACTTGGCCTCTGTGATAAATGAAAGGGGTGGGGAAATAGCTTCCTTTTATGGACACGCAGCCAACCAGTTAGCTATAAAACCCCTGTTAGTAGCTGTTCTCTACTTGCTTTACCAGTAAAGGATTAAAAAGTCCATAGTGAAAGGAAGTGAGTGGGCACCTGACCAAAAGAGCCAATGGGAAGGCTAGAACTTTTTAAAATCGGGGAAAAACTTCCCCCTTGTCTGTCTGTGTTGTTCTCCTGGAGGAGAGACAGGGCTGGAACTATGCTGTAAAAAGCTTTGGACCAGGTATGAAAATCATCAGATCATACCTAGAAACTACTCATTTGAAACCCCAGATATGTAAGATACTTTTTATCTTTTCCCAAATCATGTCTTCAAACCTTGTTTGCCTTATACAGTCTTCCCAGTTTCAGCTCTGGGGCACCCCTGCCACGCAGATTTCCCCCAGGCAGGGGACATGAGGACTTCCAGACTCCTGGGCTGTCTAGAATCCCAGGGAGCCAACTGGTCCTTGAATCTGGAAGCCTTCAGGTCTTTGGCCCTAGGGCAGTCTGTATGGTAGGGCGCCCCTGGAACTGCAGACCGTGTTAACCCACCCCAGGAATTCCAGGCTCCCTGTTCAGTGACGGTGAGCTTAGAAGCCCTGGTAGCTCACAGCACTTTCAGGCTCACTGTCAGACCCAGATGTGGAGGTCATGCCTAGTGGTTGGAGCAGGAGTCAGGCAGCCAGGTATTGGAATCTGGGTCAAAGGCTAGGTGTCAGAGCCAGAGTTAGAGGCCAGGAATCGGAGCTGAGAGTCAGAACCAGGTTATCTGGAGTCAGGCAAGGCTGGGTCCAAGGCAGGAGCAGGGTGGGAGCAAGGCTAGGAACAAGCAGGCGCAAGAGCTGTTGCAGCTGTGAGCAAATGCTTTGAAGAGCCACCAAACTGCTGCTTCTGGGCTTAGGAGCTGGCCTATTGACTTTTCCCACTAACACCACAGAGAGTAGCCAATCAGGCAGCCTGCTACAGGCAAGCTGCACTTGTTAGGTTGCCCAGAGACTGCTGCAGGTCCAGATTCCTTATACTCCCAGCTCCAAGGTAGGGAGCCTGGAAACCCTGGTGTGGTTGGGCTGTCCCAGAGCTGCAGACCCTACAAGCCTGGGGTCCTGCCCTTAGAGAAGACTGCATGGCAAGTCTCCGTATCAGTCTGCCAGGCAAGCTGGCAGGGAACCGTGCCTGTGCTTGCCTGAAAGTTCATCAAATCAGACTCGATTTTTTTGAGAGAAATTTTGGGTTCGAGCAGGTATTTTCCAGCACAACTGTTTTATCAGAAAATTTCTGACCAGCTCTGACCAACCTGCTTCCCACCTTTGCCTCCTGTCTATCTAAATTGTAGCTGTTAGCATTCTTGCTCGCTCAACACTTCAGCATCATCACATATCTCCCTTTTTCCCCTTAAAAATCCTTTTACTCGCTTCTTGTCTTTCACCTCATCAGATGCAAGCTCCTTGTCCTTGCTTTCAGTTCCTTATGTAATCTTGTTGCACATATATCTCAGCTTTCATTTCTTTCTTTCCTCCTCCCTTGGGCCCTGGCAGTCTTCCCAATCTTCTCCCCTTATTGCTCCCTTTTGTCTGTATTCCCCTCCTAGTTTTATGCCCTCTATCATCCTGTGCCAAGAGCAGTCTCTTTTCTGCTTGTATGTATTCTTGTACTTCAAATGCCTCCTTAACACCCACATCTAGGAATATGTTCTATCTTATCCCAAATCATGTCTTCAAACCTTGTTTGCCTTATACTGTAAGATACATAGGTAAATAGAGATAGATAAATGAAGTGATATCTAATAAACATAATCAATGCTTATTTATAATGAGTGCAATTCATCACCCACTGCTTGTTCCCTCAACTCTTCCTTTTGTGTCTTGTAGGTAATAATTGGATAATTATATATTTCTAAAGTTTTCTAACCTAGATGAAAAACCACTGTACGCCTTTGTGTATACTTACACAAATGTCATCCCAGTCGCATATTCTCTGGCAGCATTGTTAACTTTACACTTCAATGCAGCTGTGACACCTATCATTGTTCATTTTTGAATATATTGCTTAGCCTGCTGATATTCATTCACCTTTAACATCAGCATACTGATCTTCATCATGCTTTCATCATGGTGCACACTTGGACACCAGTGGCTTTTAGTCTGTTGTTGAAAATGTAAAAGGATCCAAATTTCTTTCCAGAAAGAGGGAACTATTCAGAGCATATGCTTTAATGTAGTTTACTGCTTGTATAACATCCACCATAGCATTAAGGCACATTAGCAATGTCTTTGCAGCTAGGACTTTGATGATGGATTCCACAATGAGTGACAGTCACTCTAGGTGACATGCACTTTACCTTCTGCTGAAAGCTGGACCGTGTACCCATCATGGCTGGAGCACCGTCGGTACGGATACACAAAGATTTTTCCACTCAGTGCCATTGCTTTTGAAAAAGGCATTTACCTTATTGAAAACGACCTATGCTGTTGCTGTTGTTTTAAGTTGTTCACAGAATAAGAATTCATGCTTAACATCCCCAGCATTAACATACTGTATGAGCACTATCAATTGTGCACAGTTAGTAACATCAGTAGTTTCATCAAGTTGCTGGCTGAACATACTGAAAGCAGAATATTTAATTTCATGCACAACTTGTTTTTTGATATCTTCAGACATCTCACATATTCTGCGTTTCACAGTATCATTCGACATGGAAAGTATGTTAAGCTTTTTGGCAGTATCATTGCCAAGCATAAGAGACACAATGTCTTTGCATGCTGGCAGAACAAGCTCCTCACCTCTCATATGCAGCTTTTTGGTACGAGCAATTCATAGCGACACAACATAAGAGGGCTCCACAGATGAGGACGTGTGCTGTTGGAAACCTCCATCTGCATCAAGCCTGGCTTTCTTTGTTGCTTCTTCTCAGCGTTTGGAAAAATCCACATTCAGATTTTTAAGCTCAGGATGTCTAGTTTCAAGATGTCGCTGCAATTTGCATGGTTTCATCAGTTCATCAGACAAAACTCTGCAGCAAATGATGCATTGCGTTTTTTCAATACTGGAGGTGCCAATGCTGGTAAAACCGTGTTTAATGTAAGACTCTAAATACTTTTGCGTTTTAGCAATAGAGGGGGCCATTGTTTTCAGGAAAGATATGCGCCTGTATGTCTGACTGTTAAATAATAAAGTATTTTTTCAGCTGCTGAACAATCAAGCCGATGGTGTTTCAGTCCCAAGGCTGGCCTTAGGGAAAAATGACACCCTGGGCAAACTTCTATTTGGTGACCTTTCTTTGGAGGCGGAGCAGGACTGAAGGTGGAGTGCAGTTGGGGTGGGGCTGGGCTGGAGGGGTTGGGGACTGTGAGCCAGACCCAGGATGGGGCTCAGGATCCACAGCTCCATGCGTGGTCCGACTCTGGGCTGACAACCCTGCATGTGGCCGGGCTCTCAGCCCCACACCTGATGGGGGTCGGGACTCACAGCCCTGCGTGTGGGCAGACTCTGGGCTGACAACCCAGCATGTGGCTGGTGGTCGGGTCGGGGCTCCTGGCCAGTGGTCGGGTCGGGGC